CATCAACAAAAGATTGGAGGTAGCAAGTGCAGGCATGAAAATAAGTACTACCTCTCAAAATTCTCACCATCAGCCGTCACATAACCTTTTCACTGCTCGCAGTCACAGTAGTACTGGGGCCAATTCAAAAAATCGACCTCTAAAATACATGCCTTGACACATGTTGGCTAACAAGGATTTTTCGGTGTTATTTGATAGATAATGTCTTCAAGAGCATCTTGGCCCAGTATGGTGTGTCCAATCGCGTCCAAAGGTCCCGAAATCACCCTCGATAGGAATACAAAATTGCCGAAAAAACTAAGTAATTTTTAGTTCTCATCGGCTATATTCAAGCATTTTCAAGACTTTCTCGGTACTATATTGACTGGACCTGGGAGTTTTTACCCTTTTATGTGCCAGGAGCTATAGTAACACCGTACATACACAGGATGCGAACCGAGGCGTACACTGATTTTGTGCGAGAGTTGGAAAGATTGAGCATCAAGTAGTGCAGTTGTGACATACCAGAAATAGGGTACCTACTCGTTTGGACACTTTCTTCAAAGTTTTGCATTGACTCGCTGGCGCTTTTGCTGTCGGAATGTCCACGAATGGATCGATGCTAAATTCAGCAGAACCTTCATTACAATGTCATCTTGGCTCCCCGGAAAAGTAGGCATGATTCCAACAAAGAGCAGCACAATTATGTGTGGAAAGCAGGGGAAAGGTCATTATAGCTTGCCAAGCCAGTTGTAACTATTCATAGGACTAATCTACAACCGTGGAAAGTTTCAGACCTGGCTAACTTCATCGGGCTGGAATGAAGGCATTTACTTTGTGAGTACTGCTGCACAGGAGGTGTTACAGTGGACGAGCATTTCATTCGAATCTACAAGAGCGGCTAGTGTTAGTACCATGATTTGAACACACCGACCGTGGTGATCAGCTACCATTTGCACAAAGCCTATTTACCAGCTGAACAGCTCTAGGACAACTGCCTTAGGAGTGGCATGCTACAGTGAGAGGGAGTAGCTATGTGGTGTGGAGTGTTACAAAAACGAAATCCGAGTACCTGGAGGTAACCTATCACAATATGCAACAACAGCAGAAGAAGAATCATTTCCTAGTCACAGATTTTGATGGCTGGGCCTAGGCAGTGTGAAACTGCAGTTATACTTATAAAACACTAACTGCAAGAAAGAGTCCGATGTCCAATGTCATGGCTTGTCTCTCCTGAACTGATCACGGCACGTAGTTGATGCGATTCAAGAGCGACGGTGAAAAGGGAAAACATGTTTATATAATACCTCATGTACTAGTGGCTAAAGAATTGTCCTTGACTGCAGAGCAAACATTGATGGTGTAGGCGGCGGAGTAGAGATGGGCTCAGCCGTACGGCGTATAGTTTCCAAAGCTCAGACGGAAGAACAGCTTCAGTTAAAGTGAAGCACATGGAAGCGAAAGTATTCGCATCACAATGTTGGGATCGATCAGCTTTTTAAACTGCAGCTATTCACATGTGAGTGTTGTCCAACTGCAGCCCTGAGGTATTTTCAAAGCATTTAAGTATAGTGACAAGCTAGCCAATGTTTGGACTGTTTATCTACTAATATGCAAAGGATTTTGGTATTTTCATTTTCATCATTTTTTCGTTACAGCACTGCCATTGCATTATAAGTAATGACTAATGTTGTCCTTCTTACATTGCTGCGAGATCTATCGTATTATCTACACGTACTTCGAGTAAATTAGTTCAGGTTGAAACTGTCCTATAGGCTATAGCACTTCGTTCCTTAGACTCTGACAGTTTCCTACCACCTTTTCCTTCTCCTGTCAGTACTTGGGTTACAATACCTATTCTCCCAGTTGAAGTGTAACGCCGAACCATCTGACGCTTCTCTCGTGTTTGCAGTCTGATAATTATAGTAATGCATGCCTGTAAATAGTCTCATCTACCTGCTAGCTGCACATACATGTACACGTACCTCAATGCTAACATTCGACGCGACATGTAATGTACATGTACATGTCCAATAGCCAAGTTTCACTGCACTTTGTAAATTTTGTTTTGATACTGTAAAGGTACAGTACTTGTCGCCGTACTGTATCTACTGCTCATTCTGAGCAAAATGAGGTGCTACTTGGCCATATACATGTCGGTAAAAATGGATATAGGAGCAATTCTAGTTAGGTTGCCATGGTAATAACGGCCTTTTCTATTTTGATGTTTTTCACCATGTTCGGACACAATTCGGCAATCGAAACCTATGCCATCGTGTTCAGGAGGCAAAAACCATCCAGGAATGATCATAAAATCCATGTTAGCAAACATGTGTCAAGTAAAAGTGAGAAATTTCAAATGGGCCCTAGGACTACAGGTGAGGTGCTGCTCATGCCTCCCTCAGAAGAACATGTGGTTGCACGAGCCTAGGCCTAGAGTGTATTCTTTTTTTTGCGCCTATTTTTGCACCCCATCAGGCCATCAACCAACTCACGCAATCATTTTCATATTTTACACTATCAGCCAGGATCATCCATTCGCGCTATGATCCAAGCTTGCAGCCTACAATCTTATCTTCTGAAAATTGTAGTCAAGTTGCTGTCTGATGAACGGTTAAAACCGTGAAACTCAGAGTTACAGAAGAAACGCTTTTGATCCCTCTCAAGTGTGTGTACAATATAATTATACATGTACATGTACATGACATTGTACATGTACATTGTACATGTACACCGAGAATGGACTCAGATGGAGAGCCAAGGATAACTTATTTATAGAGAAGAAAAAGGACCAATGAACTGCAACTTAGTATTACTATTAGTTACAGGTGGTGTTAGTGGACATTGTATGCCCGTCAAGTGCATGTAGATCTACCGACCGACTGGTAGAATGCGTTGATATGATGCTGGACGGAAATGGCTATTCCATCAGTACTCGATCACTAGAATAACACATTCAGTCAGATCAAACCCAGCAGTATTACTGCTGAAAGAGTCGAACAAAATCTGACACAGAAATGATGTCCGCTGTGACAAGTTAGTTTACAAGACGGCAACGTCTGTAGGACCTTCCCTCAGTGGCGGGTTTAGGGGGGGGCGCGGGGGGCGCGCGCCCCCCCCTCAAAAATTTCGACCTAGGTTTCGAAAAATAATACAGGGCGCGCGCCGGGTCGAGCTAGACTAGGCTCGGGGCGCGCGCGCCGCGCGGCCTGAAACGATTGTCCAAAAGCGGTTGCACGGTGCTAGTACAGTACGAGTACACTGTACAGTCTACACAGACTACAGAGCTAGAGACAGAGTACGAGTAGAGTCTACGTACAGTGAGCATGCACGGCTACAGTACAGAAACACGGTGACCTGACTGTGTACTGTTGTACAGTGTGATCCCTGCTGGGACGCGCTCGACACGTCTTCAACGGTACAAACATCGAAGAAAAGTCTTCGATCGAGTCAACCAAAACACGATTCGAATGCCGAGGGCTCAGGCGATCATCCTCGTTCGAATCGTGTTTTGGTTGACTCGAAGGCTTTTCTTCGATGTCTCAGGGACATCCCAAAAGGCCAAGCTCTAGCCAGCAGAGCCTGGAATTTTTGTAAAGCGTTCCTGTGGCGGCGCAACTCCTGCTGCCGCTCCAACAGGAAACAGTGGGAGTGATGAAGTCGCTGTTATTCCAGACAATCCAGTTGAACTTTCGGAGCGGACTGACAGTCAAACTCCGCCAGACGTGGAAGAACCTGTTGTCAGCGAGCAGCCAGAACATAAAGAACAGCGCACAGTGACAAGTACCGCTGCCTATGTAAAGGATGCTTTGAGAGCGGTGAGAAATTGTTGGACTCGCATATTAAAACAAAAGAAAAAAGCAGTTGATTCGCTCACATAACGGCAAATTTGAAGTTTACAATGTACATTTGTTGCTGCGTGTACAGAAATACTGCTCGTGAGTCGTGGTGTGTGAGATTTACGGCTTGTTGTTTATTTTTACTTCACCAAATGAACAGACAGAGATGCCTTCTCACCTGCCCCGGCATAGGACAGGTTCTCACAGAATGATGAAGGGATGATATGCAAGGGAAAACAAGAAAATTAATGATAATAATAATAATAACTTATAAGACAGAAAGGACCAAAAGAAGAAAGGGAAAATTTATATCAAGAACAATTTCATGGAGTCAGAAATAGAAAGACAATAATTTCATGGAATCAAAGAATAGAAAGACAATCTCATCGAGTCAGGAACACGTGGTTGATTTTATAGACATGCATGCACAAATGATTGATAGATGAGAAGGTTGGAATTTATGGCAGATAATAAAAGTTTAACGAGGACAAAGTAAGTATATCAATGGCAGAAAGAGCTTTTCGGAAGGGACCAGGGACACGTATCACTCTAAAATCAGAGGGGAGAGCGTTCCAGAGAATGCTTCCCCAAAACATCATGCTCGATCGTACCGCAGACCCACCGTGGGGACTTGAAGCAAGTTCGACACTTGTCCCCGTGTGGTGCGCTGATCCTCGGGAACAATCTCTGGGGCCGTTCGGGTGAATAACTGTTGAAGAAGGGGCTACAGGAGGAGCTTCTTGACATTGATTTTCAAAATGGCTGACCTGGGACAGTAGCATGATGTCATCTACCCCAACCCCATCCCGCCTTGATCCCGGCCGCAACCCCCCCTCACTGGCCTCAGCCAAATCCTGGACACGCCACTGTCCCTATCACAATAATAAATTCTACTGCTACTACTACTACTACTACTAGTACTACTACCAAGAGTACATACTCTTGCTACTACTACTACTTAGTTTCGGCTCGTTGTGGATGTCAACAGCTACATAATAATGTCTGCAAAACTGGGTGGAGAAGCTGTGCCTGTGGCCTGCAAAGACTAACTATTACTTACTAAGCCTGCACGTGACTCGTCATCTTTTAGCTTTGATTATGGATGGGACGAAGATGACGACGTCAATCTCAAGGCAGTAGATCGAGGCAAGGAAGAAAGTCAAATTTTTGAAATCCAAAAAATAAATAATGACCCTGCAGTGCAGAAGAGGTATGTCGTGTAGCTCTGTCTTTTGTATCCTACCCTCATCTACAGGCTCAGTTTGATGGGGACCTCCCTGAGCGAGACACGTATTGTCCCATTTACACTCGAGTTCGGACTAGGTAGTTCTTGCTACAGATGATTGCTAAATCCAGGGGCAGTCGTGAGAAATCACGAGAAAACAAGCGTTCCCAGTTGTCATCTTCTACACAATGTCATGTGGCTACTTCGTTCACTGCAGGATACTGGAGGTGGCTGCCACTCTGCTTGATCGCCTTCAGGCTTTTCAATGCGGTGTTCCTTGTCCAGACGTACTTCGTGGCTGATGAGTACTGGCAATGTCTTGAAGTTGCTCACAAACTTGTGTTTGGCTATGGTTACTTGACCTGGGAGTGGGTAGAGGGAATCCGTGGCTACTTCCATCCAGTGCTTTTTGCCAGTCTCTACAAGGCTCTGCAGTTGACTGGATTGGATTGCACGGTGTGCTTGGCCGTTGGACCACGTCTTCTGCAGGCTATGTTCGTTGCATGGAGTGATTGGCACATGCTCCCGCTGGCCGAGCGCTATTTCTCCGCCGATGTGGCACCATGGGTGCTGCTCAGCTACATATGTACGTGGACGAATATCTACTGCATGGCGCGCACACTCAGCAATAGCCTGGAGGCTGTGTTCTGCATTGTTGCACTATCACACTGGCACTGGTGCTGGTCTCCTCGCTTTGACTTGCCTGCTGTTCGCCGATCGTTCGTGTTTGCGGCACTGTCCTGCCTCGTTCGGCCGACGGCAGCTGTTCTCTGGCTGCCGCTTACAGCTCATTTGTTATGGACCTGCCGCAGACATGCCCGTGAGACCATCATCAGTGCAATTGTCCCTGTTGCAGTGGTCTCCTTGCTACTGTCCTTCGCACTCGACAGTTTGTGTTATGGTCGCCCGGTGCTGGTGCAGTGGAATTTTCTCAAGTTCAATTTCCTCAACGATCTAGCGTCGCTGTACGGCACTCATCCGTGGCACTGGTACGTCACATCTGGGCTCCCCACGCTACTAGGCACTACTCTTCTCACGGCCGCCATGGGTCTGTACTTGTGCAACCGCGAGCAAAACGTCCTGGCCGCGGTCGCCTGTGTGGTGGTTCTGGTCAATAGTTTTGTGGCGCACAAGGAGTTCCGCTTCTTTCTCTTTCTGCTGCCTATAGCTGCCGTGTACGCAGGCAAAGGCTTGCATTGTGTGTTGCGTAGTGTTCATGAGAAGGGTAGATGGCAGTACTGCCTGGTCTTATGTTTCATGGTCGTTCCGCAGTTCGCTGCTGCTGTGTATTTCGGAGTTGTCCACCAGTCTGGCACCGTATCGGTGATGCGTTATCTCGACTCTGAGGCGTCCTTGCCGCTCTATTCTAGAGATGCGTCCAAGTTTAGTGTTCTCTTTCTGATGCCGTGCCACGCCACTCCTTATCACAGCCATCTGCATCGTAACATCTCCATGGAGTTTCTCACTTGCCCACCTCTGCAGGAGAAACCCACGGAAGACGTCGTATTCTATGGTGACCCTGTGCCATGGCTGCACGCCCGCTTCGACGGCGGTGCGCGCCAATTTCCGTCGCACATTGTTCTCTTTGACGTTTTGGAGCCAGTCATCCGTAAGTGGCTTCACGACTCCGGCTATCGCAGACAGGCCTCATTCTTCCACTCCCACTTCCCGGAGGGGCGCGTTGGACAGCGCGTCCTTGTCTACAATGCCCCAATCAAATGAGCGCTCCTTCAGAATATTCGCACGCAATACACAAAATACGCGGAGCACAGCTTGTACATGTACAACTGCAGCTCGTGAACAAAGCTATCCAGAACTTCCCCGTTCTATTGAATGCGGTGCCACTGCAGTCTCGCACCTTGTGCTGCCAGTACTTTGACTTGCACAATGTGCCCGATTGGATACATTCGGATACAGTATGATTATTGCAAGCACGGCTGTTCAACTGAAGTCTGAAGACAATTGTTGCGGTGACTGACTTGCTGAACAACTTGAATGCTCAAAGATTCCTGGCCTGCACTTCCAAGTATGAAGGTTTTACCAGGAATGTTTGAGCTGCGTGAGAGCTACGCAGGTGTAGTGCGTTGCACTAGCTGCAGAGGCCTTTCATTATTATGAATGAAATCAGTCCCTTTGCCTCGCACATACTTGTACCAATGTGTGCTCAATGCTCATAGTACACGCACACACCGCATACTGCTAAAGGCAATGATACTGGAAGATATATTCCATGCAATTCATGCTCGGCATGCAAGCAGCGTGCAAGGTTAGGAATTTACTTCAAAGTACATGTACAAGCATTACGTAACTTTAGACGTCACAGACTCACAGCCCAGTGAGCTTTTAGAAATGATTTCTCTGCTCAAGGACAATCCTGCTTTTTCCCCGCATTTCCACTCACATCGCCCTGCACGGTCTGGCATGCACTGGCCCTCGGCAGGCCGGCAGGGGAATGAAGGCATACTCCGGAGAAGTTCAAAAATAGTGAAAACTGAAAAGACACAGGCACACATGTACACACACCACTACATGCACACACACAAACACCTATGCCTGTGCAAGTTGAGTGAATGGAACCACATGTATGTGCACGCCAACAGACACACACACACAATCATAGTACATTCACATATGCTGTCCTGGCATCTATCGAGTGCTGATTTCGACCATGACAAAAAATCTGCACACAATACACACTCCTCAATACGTAATCGGCTGGTACTCATCACCATTGGCACAGATAAACCCAATTCCAATATTCCAGAACTACTCGTAGGGCACAATCTGCAGGTATCGTCTCAAGATCGAGTGCTAGCGACAGGCACCGGGTCATAGGGCAACCCGCATGTGCCGATCACTGCCGGGACACTACACTTGAATGCACCGACACATATATACGCACACACACAAACGCACAAGAACGAAGCCAGGTAATCGGACGGTAGCCTAGTAGTAGTGGAAGGTTGCATGCTTGTAAATTTCAAAGGTAAAAAGAAGATAAATATAACTTGCAGCTTGACGCACATTGGAAATACAACATCCCAGTACTCTGGGTCATCAGAGTACTAGTGTGATGTACCAGCATCAAACCTTGACAAATACTCACGAACAGTAGCAGCAATATTAGCATCAAGCATAGACTAGGGACAGTTCTCAACTCCGCAACGACAGTGTCTGCACATACAGCTGCAGGACAAGCGAGCAAAAAGTCTAATTTGGCGAAGAAGAGCATGAAGCTCAGGATACCTCCGCTGCAGGAACCTATCCCCTAAAGAACAGCAGCACTGCATAGTCAATTCCATAGGTTGCTGGTCGACACGTTGCTATGTAGCCATTGAACAGCATGGCCGATACAGCCACTATTCTCTACCTACTACACCCACGGGCTCAGCACACCGGAAGACAGCAAAGGTGAGCAGCTAAGCCGGCCAAGTCACATCGAGTCATGGTGTATATTTGCCCATTCAGGCACCAACATGACACTACACTCAGTACGGATGCATACGTTCAGCACCACGGCGGCAGACTTAGGAGATAGCCGGAGATGGTTTCGTGCATACAACACTCTCTCATCTCAACATACAGCTATCACCTTCTGCGGCCAGACCCACTACATCATCTAATTTGAATGGAACTGCAAAGGGCACAGGGTGATCTGCACTCATGAACGCTTTTCCTCTTTCCGCCGTGCTTCTGCAAACAACTTCTCGTACGCTTCTACATTCTTCCTGCCGTACATGCGTAGGACCCTTTCTTGTTCACTGCTCCTCTGCTTTTCAAAGAACTTTTGCACTGCCCTGTCCTGCTTAGCACGAAAGTATCGACAAAAGGCAAAGTAGATACTAGTCACTCCTCCAATGGTGACCAATCCATGCTTCAGTGATCGTCTGCTCCTGCCACTAAACATGAATTGTCCTGTGGTGACGACGCAGCCGGCGCTAATTCCGAATATCAGAGATTCTCGCAAGCACGGAGTTGTAAGTACGTAGTGCAGAACACCACTCTCGCCAGGAGGACATTCCATTGTCGCCATGTCTTCCTGCACCTACAAACTCCTCGAACACCAAACCGTCACTTGTTTGAATGCTACTCACGCCCTGCAAATCATGCGGAGCAAGTATTCGAGAACTTCAACTGGCCAAAACCCTGGCTCTAGCTGCTCCAAAGATCTGCAGGCATTGGCATGTGAGAATAGGCGCAATCGTAATCTCACGAGCTGAAAGCTGGTGATACTCTTCTCCAATCTCAGCTACATATCCTACAAATGAAATTCAATTAATTAATTTATTTTGCAATCCTTGTTGCGCCACATGCTCACATTTTGAGTTGATCTTTGTGGAGGCTGTGCACTAGTCTACGTAGCAGTTGCGTAATGTTGTAACCATGACGAAATGCACCCGTGATAATCCTTGATCCTGTGCCTAAGTCGTGACGTCACGATCAGATCCGCTCGCGCCACATTGCCGTTGCACTGAGTGGGCCAGTGCCAGTGGCACTGCACTGGCAGCCAAAGCCAAGGAAAAGGTCAGCTAGTTCTCGTACTGCAGTACATGTACAGGGCATCTGGACTGGTAACGGCGGTAAGACCTTGTATTGGCTGTGCATGACACCAGTATTATGACTGCTGGAACTCTCTGCCACCCCCTCCCCCTTATAGCGCCCTTTTGAAGTCATGTCCTTGCCGCAGCCGCCCTGCATGCACGCACGCACCCCAATGTCCCACGCAGCCATCTTTCCGATGCACCACTGTGACACCTCTCTTCACCGAGGCTGCACCCAAGTAGACCTGTTGTCTTACTTCGAGAACGAGCAGATTCAACATCACATGCACCTGCAGTACCCGCTTCCAGGGCCTACTTCAGGACTTGCGATTAATATACGGTACCGATAACGAGCTTCCAGATCCTATAATAGTAATATACCGGGCCGAATATGAAATTTGTTAAATTCTCATGTGCCGGAATGGCAACGACGCCATGCTCTGCAACAGCACGGCTCTGCACACCGCGTATTGTACAGTCCCGCTCAATGAAATCCAGTCGCGTCACTCCGGCAAGTTTGCGCCTTGCACTATTTCACAGCCCAGGGTTTGCAGGTATATGGCTGCACATCGCCCGACGCGTACTTGAGTGACGCGACTGGATTTCATTGAGTAGTGCTGTCCTACTCCCTGCTGCCCAGTTGCAGCACATATCCTCAGGGCTTTCTATAGCATCCATCCGATATAATTGATGAGCTGTGATTACAATCATGGCGGATCAGTGATACACAGTGAGAGACCAGTCAGAGTGTCGTGTGAATGCCACAAAAGCCATGATGTCATAGCCATGATGTCATAGCCATGATGTCATCGCCATGATGTCATAGCCATGATGGGAGAGTAGCAGCTCCACGTGGCGGCATCCCGGCATTAGTGATGAAGTCACTACTGAACTGTGTGCCGCAAAGTCCGGCGGAACACGCAATGACTGCATTGTTTCATGGCGCGCTTGAGTACGTGCCACAGTGCATGTATGTACATGACTGTGTCCGTGGTTGCTAAGGTGGACCACCTGTCCGTGATTGCTAAGGTGGACCACCACGGCATTATCAAGCACATGTACTGCGGAATCTCTTGGGTTTGAGTACATCTTTCCAAATCCAGATAAATGAACATGGGCGTTCTAATAAGATTTGCAACCCCATTCACCTGGTCGCGAAAGGCCATCGGAACTGAGGAGTTGAAGTTGGCAACAAAAATGTATAGGTGACGTGTATTGCAAATGCAGCTGGCACCCGCGCAAGGCTGATTGTGAGCCGCGCTGACATGGCTCACCTGGTCACTCCACCACTGATGATTGGACTAGTATAGTTCTGGCCCAAGAAATACCACCTCATGAACAATTCATGATAGAGCCGCGTTCGAGTACATGTACACTGAACAGAGTACTGGCATGTTGTGCTGCAGGGCTGCAGGGCTGCAGGGCTGCTGCATAGCGCCCGGCGCTATTTTACCCGAGGTAGGGTTTCTCCGGACAGTACCGCAGTAGTCAGTTGACGTGCAGGCTCTAATCATGACTGTCCCCCGCTATAGCACACGGTGGCATGCCGTACGATATGCGTGCCAACCGTGACTCCCGGCACAACACGACCATCTCCTCAGGGCGATAATATCAGCTTCCGCGGTAGCAACGGCTTGAAAAGGCCCCGCTGCTTTCGCGGTTTCTTTGGCGGTGTTTCTGGTCGGACTTCTATCTTTAGTAAGCGCCTCTGTTTCTTTGGTTGCTCTGCCTGCCCAGTGAGTACTTGTGACGATGATGCTCGTTTGGCAACTACAAGGGGCTGTGTTGTGGGTGCCAATCCACTTGTGACTTGGTGGCCCTTCGGCAAAGACTTGGGAAGAACCATGGCCGGCTTCGTCCTCTGTTGTGCTTGTGCTGCCATGGTGCCGGATAAGCACGGCTGTGTCGGACATCCCGTCCTTCTTGCCGCGGAATGTTCAGTTACTGCCGGTCGGGCTGGTCCAGTGCGCTGCATGTAGCGTCTGAGACGGGGACATTCATTGTCGTCCCGAACAAGTTGCCCGCTAGTTGCCGGTCTTCGCTGTGGAGATTTGCTGTACAGACTGGGCCTACTGGTAGTTGTTGGCCTCTCCCGGAGACGTGCCTCTGTGGCAGCGGCGATGTTGGACTTCTTCGCCCCCCTCAAGCCACATCTTGACTGCGCGTGTGCGGCTTTCCGATGTTCACCGGCTCTGATCTGTGATGTTGCACTGTGGGGGGACTGTGCGGCCTCTCGCTCAGCTCTTGCCTTCCTCCAGGCCTCCCTCTGAACTTTCATTCGCTCGTTTTCAGATTTCGCCGCAGCCTTTCGGCAAATCTCCTTAATCCGCTGCCTGCTTTCCTTTAACTCCTTTGCCGTTTGCTCATCCTGGGCCATTCTCCTCTGCATGAGTTTTATTGCCAGGGCGTGACTGTGCGGGGGAATCTCAGGGCGTGGAGGCCCCACCGATACTCCCGTCAACTCAGTCACCGAGTCCAGCCATTCCTTGTGGCGCCTCTCTCTCGCTTCTTCCTCTCTCTTCTTTGCCACGTGCTTAGCATTCAGAGGAGTGACGAGTGCACGCTGTTTCTCCAGGTTGTGCTTTTCAGGCGGCGGAGGTGTATTCCACTGTGGCCTGCGCTTCTGCCGTTCTTGCTCCGCTCGCTCGGGGCCCTCCAGTATGGCGATTCGCTTGAGACGCCACTTCTCTTCTTCACGCCGCTGCTGCTCGTATTTCTCTTCTCGCTCCTTACGATAGGCGTCCATGATGGGAAAGTGGTGCACCCAAGAAGGCCACGTGTGATTGGGGCTGCTTGGCCTGGATTCATGTCGGGATGGTGGTTGTTTTAGTCCATTAGTGGCTGGTGGATAATAACGTGTTCCTGAATGACTACTGGACCAAGTTCCGCCAAACTCCGAACAGAGGTAGTCAGGCGGCTCATGGCCTTCAAGGAATCTGAAAAGTGATATTCCATCACTGCGGCAGATGAATATCCTGTCAGGCAAGCACAGTATGCGTGCACATGCACATGCACACGCATGCACGCACACACATACACACACACACACGCACGCACACACACACACACACACACTCACACACACATACACACGCACACACGCACACACACGCGCACGCACACACGCACACACACACACACACACACACACACACACACACACACACATACGGGAATTCATTGATACTAGACACCCTTAGCAAACAACGTTATGTTGTAACGGTATTACAGTAAGGGGGGAAATACCGTGATTTGGGCTCGATCTTAAGCAAGATGCACGCTATTTTTAGTACGCGGTTGCCACGAGAATAGCTTTTAGTTTGCGCGGTACAACCATTTATGTCACCATATACGCGATACAAGGTGAACTGCGTATGGACTATGCAATATTTGGCCAAAAAACGTACCGTTGGTCACAACGATAAATCAGCCCCCATAACGTTTTTACGCTGCAGCTTCAACGCTATTTGGGCGATCAAGGTACGAGTACCGTAAAAAATAGCGTTACCGTTGTTTGCTAAGGGTGTCTAATGGTAAAACATAACCTGGAACATGTGCAATCATCATGCGCTTCCCTGATTCAATGACAGTTATCAGACTAGAGCAGCTAGAGTGCAGCACAAGAGCAGCTCATGATAATTATGATTATGGTGGCAAGACTTGTTCAAAAACGGGTGGCTGGTGCTAACACTTACCCCCTTCTTCCATCAAGAAATATGCTCTTGACAGGCAAGTCACCCTCCCTGAAATGATGCAGCACACGCAGCAGGTCACCGCTGACAAGGTTCCACAGTCGTACCTGTGAGAATTACCAGCGACACAGCACAGGCAAACCGACATGCCAGAAAACTATGCATTACAATTATAGTCAGTAATCTGTAAGTTGTGTGTATGCCGTGACGGGGAGGGGGGGGGGGGGAGGGGTGCGCGCATGTGTGTGTGTGTGTGTGTGTGTGTGTGTGTGTGTGTGTGTGTGTGTGTGTGTGCTGAGCTGTCTGCTCCTGCTCCTGGAATGTCCGTTCCCTGGTGAACTGGCTTGGATCGTTAGAGACTGCAAGCATTGTCGGAACCCGAGTGTGCGAAGAAGACAGGACATTTTCAAATTGGATACAGTACTGTTCTGACACAGTTACCATGGTTACAGGCCTTCAATACCGAGGCGGACGGGCTTCGGGAGGCAAGGTGGTTTGGCTGAGACTCGCATTCCATCGGTCGTGGAGGTGTTGTTTTTTCTTCAGCGCGGCCTGTTCCTGCTAAGAGAGATAGATAGATAAAGAGAGAGAGAGAGAGAGAGAGAGAGAGAGAGAGAGAGAGAGAGAGAGAGAGAGAGAGAGAGAGAGAGAGAGAGAGAGGAGAGAGAGAGAGAGAGAGAGAGAGAGAGAGAGAGAGAGAGAGAGAGAGAGAGAGAGAGAGAGAGAGAGAGGGAGAGAGAGAGAGATGGAGAGAGCTATGTGCACTGGGTGAGGGCACTGCATTAGTCGGTTGTGCCAGATCATTGACTGCCTGGCAGACGTGACGTGACGGTGACAGTAGTTCGAATATAACGTGGCTGTGGAAAGAGCTGTGGATGGCAGCAGCACCTCACATCGGAAGGCTTGCCCTCACTGAGGCCGTGTGAACGCCTTCTGCTCCCACGTTCTCCAGCCTGTTTTCTCCCATTGTGACTGCATCCCTGGGAGATGGCAAAGTCACATTTGGCTGCTGGTTCAATGTTCAAGGTGTGTGTGTGTGTGTGTGCAGGCGCGTGCGCCGGTGCCCTTCAAGGGGGGTTTCCGGGGGACCTCCCCCCGGGAAATTTTTCAAAAAATGAAGCAAAATCCTGCATTTTGAGCGGAAAAAAGGGGGGTCACACAGTCCGGGCACCCAGGAACCCATACGGGGCACGCGCCTGTTGTGTGTGTGTGTTTGTGTGTGTGTGTGTGTGTGTGTGTGTCTGTGTGTGTGTGTGCACGTGCATGCGTGCACATGTATGCGTGTGTGTGTATGTATGTGTGTGTTCAGTTGATCTGGGCATGCTGCGTACCCAAACCTTAAGCTAGCTGCCACTGTGTAGAGAGAGTGGGATTGGAAAGAGTGGGGCAAGGTCTGTGATATTATTATTATTATTATTATTATGACGGATAACCCATGACACTTGATAGTTGAAGTATCATTCTCACATTATCCTATGCACGGCTCGGTGCAAGCAAACAAAACACGAGCGAAGTTAGAGGATCACGGAAAGTTTCTATGAGTGATTGTGTTTACCTTGCCGTCAGCTGAACCCGCAAGCAGTTTCAGGTATGTGATCTCCAGACACGTCACAGGCCTGAGCAAATACACCGACAATCAAGCATAGCATAGGGTACAGCAGTTATTGCATCTTCAAATACAGTGAAACTCCAATATAACAGGATATACCAGTTACGAGTATGTGACTACTATGTATGTATGTGACTACTATGTATGTATGTACTGCTATGTATGTACTGCTATGCAATATAACACACCATGTTCCTTATTCCGCATGACTCGCTGGGCATTCAATTTTGCTGACGAAGTTGCCCGCCTTATAAAGTGCTTTCCGACGGTTCTGATTAAATAATCTGTCGCCCGTGGAGAGCAGTGTCTGTGGCTTGCCATCTCCTGTTGCAGCAGCCGCATGACTCTAAATTACAGTGCAATTGCTGTATGGGTCTCTGGCAGCAAGGAACAGTCGACGAGTTAGTTGAAGAATGCCATTGCATCCAAGATCATCTTCCCAGGCACAGTGGTGTAGGGCCGGGCTTGGTGGGCCGGTGGAAGTATCATATTCCACTTAGTAAGTTATGACCTCAGTACCTTATACAGTAGAGCCAGTTCGTGGCATTTTCATTTGTGTATGCATCTCACGCATACGCACCAGTGGAAGGAATCAGGCGGCGATCAGACTTCACTCGTTATCATTGCTCAGTAGAATGCAACACACACATGGAAGTGCACCTCAGTAGATACGGGGGACATCTGGTCTAACAAGAGTATTTCCCGAATTGACCTTGCACAATGTCAAACTATACCATGATGCGGATCTACACCCTACATTCAAAACTGAGAAGGCAAGACTCGAATCCAGACTGTGCTGGGGACGGTCTCCACTGACTTACACCGGGTTCTGCAAGACAGCAAGAGGTGCATCGCAGGAGTGCGCATTGCTCCAAACTATGGTGAAGTGATTGCCACCACTTGCAAACAGCTTCTCACCGGTTGCCAACGCATTCACGGGTCCATTGTGTGACCATAGGATCTGCAAGCACAGGTACACATCGGTGAGAAGAAGGAAAAGGACAAATCTATGTCACAATGTCATCAGCAGTTGTATAAATCCTATACTCTTCAAATCCAGTGCTTTGAAGTCACACATAAAACCACGCACAAAGAAGACCATAATAACGACCCCAGCGTAATATTTAAAAAAAAGCAACAACGACGACGACAACAACAACAACAGCAGCAGCAGCAGCAGCAGCAGCAGCAGCAGCAGCAGCAACAGCAACAACAACAACAACAACAACAACAACAACAACAACAACAACAACAACAACAACAACAACAACAACAACAACAACAACAACAACAACAACAACAACAACAACAACAACAACAACAACAACAGAAAAACACAAAACGACAATACATGCATATCTTTCTTGGTGTGCTTGATGTCCCCATGACATGTCCCCATGACATGTCCCCATGACATGTCCCCATGACGTGTCCCCATGACGTCGATACACTACTGAGGTCGCCTGAGGGCAACAATCCTCACCACCCCTATGCTCCCATTATGCAATTTTTGTCTTTGCCTGTGAGCTGTGATCATAGCAAACAAATGCTGCATGTACAACACGGTACTGTAAAACATGTAAATCTAACGTTTTCAGCGAATGACAATTCCTCACTATAATACGTTCTGTTGTTGAATTTGTGATTCGCTATAATAACATGTTTTACAGTAGTTCAAATGTACCATTACCTGCTAAACACACATTTTAATGTACTCTGCGCTCACCCACGTTGGCTGACATCAATGTAACGTTACTCACCCGCACTGGCTTCTTACGTCCAATACACCAATGGAAGACCTTGCCATCACCCGTCCCACTGACCACGTTGCTCTCATCTAAAAACTGCATAACAGATACAACTCAAGATGATGTGTGGCCCGGGTACATGTGTGGGTAAATGTGTGTGTGTGTGTTTTTAGCTGAATACCACAGAACCATCAGATGCTGCACAGCGGGAGCAGGCAGAAGTAACTCCTCCGACCAAAGGTCTCGGAGTCACCGTTACTCATGTGTGTGGGGGGTGGGGTGGGGGGGGGGGGGGTGTGTGAGGTTTGCGCGTGTGTGTGCGTGCGTGTTGGGGAGGGAGAAAGAGAGAAAGAAAAGACAGAGAGACAGAGGAGAAGAGAGAGGAAGAGAGAGAGAGAGAGAGAGAGGGGGGGGGAGACTCCTGCCACATTTTTCAAGTTAAATCACAATCCAAGTCACTCGTTCTTGCACATGCATGAAAGAGCTCACGACGCTCTGCCGACAAGTATAGTTTGTTTCTCAAGTTGCTTGCTTCCCAGCGGTGCCGGCCATATCCAGCGGTGAATCCAGAGTCGGCCCAAAGACTGCAAGGTACTAACACTTGCGGCAGTTAAGCTCATTTCTCATTTCTCACACTTGCAAGCATTGCCACTGGATCTACTTTACTGTACAGTGCTCCTTTTGAGGCAGCATGGCCTGCCAAGGACAACCCATCTCGGAGAGAGATTTCCATGCCAAAGAAAACAATTAAAGCTGTGTGGACCCTGGCTGGCGCCGGGCATTACTAAAGCAACGTTTTTGCCTAGCTACTGGAGTTAAAATGAAGTTGTCAAGTCTGCCTGAGCAAACCAACAGCGTACTCGGCAAATAGACTGGGAGGGGGGGGGGGCATGTACGTGTGCACTGTGCAGAGTTTCTGCCTGTCATCATGGCTTACCTTAACAGCATTGACAATATGTGAGTGGTGGTACGAGTGCAAGCATTCCGTGCTGATTCGGTTCCACACTGCACAGCGTAATGAGAAAAGCATGATTTTCCCATGATGCCCAAGTGACACAGCAAGACATTGCGCCAAGTTGTAGTGACAAAATAATATGCCGTATTATCTCCATTATAAGCCCCGCACTTACATTTTTTCAACTAGTCCGGACCCTGGGCTTATACTAGATACTGGGCTTATAATTTTTCAACCACCTGGTACATGTACATTGCCTACTATTTTTTTCATTATACCAGTAGCACAAAGTTTCCCAGCAGGTACCGGGACTGCAGTTTTGTGCTTCCTGGTACACTGAGTCTGAACTTTAGATCTCGGGGACCACAGACTTTTACCACAGCATGTGTTTATGTGATAGTGTGTGATGTCAAACATGCATGGCCATGATCCATACGGTTAACCACTATAAGCCCTGCGCTTATATTGGAGACTGGGCTTCTACAAGAGACTGCGCTTGTAATAGAGATAATACGGTATACAGACGTGAATCCTAAGGAGTCATAGACAGCTCACCTTTCACATAGTGATCTCGTGATCCGGACACAAGGTGTTTCTCCGTAACGTCAATACTGGTTACGGGAGCACCATGCCTGAAGACAACACCGAAACAAATATGTAGCCGTCTATGGAAATGTGTCTTGCTCCATGAAGTCGTTAATGTACGATCCCATGTGCTCAGCGGCAACCGCATGTACTACATGATCGTACTAGTAAGGTATGATGATGACAGAACATCACAAGGCGGAGGACACACTGTATGGAAACACAGTGTTCCTGACTGCAACCATACACCGGTTGGTAGAGTCCCGGTCTCGCGGTTTGGTGTTGGCAAGGCTTACATATGCCATGCATTGGTAAGCAGCCACAGTGCAACGTGTAGCGTGCGCCAACCTTCATTAACTCAGAGTCTTTTGCACACGAGCAGGTTCGCTGAAGCAACTGTACTACTAGTATGTAAACGTGTACAGACGCATAATCTAAAGACCTTTGGGAATTATCATTCCACTGTGGTGGTGTCCTATGCAGGATTGCTGCGTGGTCATGAACGAAGGATCAAGACAAGTCTTTCTGCTAATATAATAATTATTATAATATCATCTGATCCAGATGTTAGATGAAGCGCCTAAACTTTGGCGGTGTGTATATGGGGGGGGGGGGGGAGCAGACCCGTAATAAACGGCATTGCAAAGTGGTCAAAGGCGGAGCATCTCATTCGCTGCATCCATTCACTGAGAATTCGACTTGGTTAAGAATGTGCATGTCTGTGCATGAGTGTATGCGTGCATTGCATGGTACGTTTCCTGGGAAACGCATACTAGTACCAACTAACTCCCACCATTTTTCACACAGTTATACACCAGTACTCGAAAACGGTCTCTCGGCTACAAATTCTTCCAAAAATAATAAATATCCAAATTTTCGGGCCAGGCCCATCTTCAGGAATAATAAATCCAGAACAAAGACTATAGTTATTATATCTGACAAAAAATGGTGAGACAAATAGCACCAAAAGAAAAAGGGATAGCGCTGACAAAACCAGCAGCAACAGCAGCAGCAGAAGCAGCAACAGGAGCAGTAAAAACACACACACGAAGCAGGCTAGAACATTACAGTCCCCCAAACCAAGCAGTAGCATCACACCATCCCTAGCGAAAGTAAGCGTGTATGTGTGTGTACTGTTACAAAAAGCACAAACTGAACATATCAGTGACAAATAACGCCCAAGCACCTAAACATCGCCCAACAAACGCCCATATTCACCGCCGGTTTCCTCTTCCGCATGAAGAGGGCCTCCATGATTCGGCGGTCCACGTAGGATCTCTGCCTCTGGGCGAGAATCGAGGCCTGGGCGAATGGCAAAGATGACTCGGGGAAAATGTGGTGTTTCTTGCGGTAATGTTCACCCCAAGGCTTTCCCTGTGTGGCATTCTTTGCCTGGCCGTGGTGCTCCTCGCTGCGTTTCCTCGCCGTCCGCTCAGTCTCACCGACATATTCCTCGCCACAGACAGCACACTTCAAAGAATACACAACATCCTTAGACATACATGTATTCCGTTGAAGGCCAGCATCACATCCACGACACTCAGCCGGCCTGCCCCTTCCCCTCTTCTTCTTCTGCCGCTGTACCGTTCTCGGGCAAATAGGCCGGCTGAGTGACGACGACACCAACATGTCACGCAACGAACGTCCGGACGTGAAGACAACACATACGTCTTTACTGAATGATTTGACGGTTTTTCGGACATTGTTAGCGAGCCTCTCGTTGATGTATGGCACCTTGATGATGGATGTGTATTTCTTTTTCTCCGGTTGCGCTTGACTGAGATGATGACTGCCGGTACTCCGCTGTGATGTGGTGCCTTGGTGCCTTGGTGCCTTTGTATGGCGTATTGTATGGCTGATTGGATGATCGCAGTGGGATAGTGGTTGTTCTTGAGTAACGTTGTTATCTTGGCGATGCTTCGTTGACGTCCGTCTTCTGTTGTCGAGTTGGCGATTGCCCTGCTGAACTGGTTGTTCGCTACGGCGATTTTGGTGTCCAGCGGCAAGGACGACAGGTACGACAAGTGAACACCACTGTGAGACGGCTTGACAAACAGCTCCCAATCCAGCTTACCACTGGAGCACGATATGGACAGGTCCAAATAACTGATCGTGTGAGAATTGGCGGAGCGTGTGTAGTCCGCTGTGAATCGTATGTGTGGATGGCGAGAGTTGAGGTGTTCAACAAATCGTAAGAACGATGCGACGCCAAACAGCCAAATAATAATACAGTCGTCGATATAACGGCGGTACAGAAGTGATTTCAAAGGAAAATCAGACAGTGCGAGCGACTCCAATCTTGACATGAAGATTATAGCCATAGGGGGCGCCAGGTGGTTACCCATAGCCAAGCCCCGTCGCTGGCGGTACACATTGCCATTAAACTCGAAGAAATTGGAGTTCAGGACAAACAAAAGCAAATCGCGGATATCTGATACCGACAACGAAAACATATCAATCTCTGCGCGGTGCTCTTCGATTAACTCAATTGCCGCATCAACACTTTCGTTGATCGGGATATTGGAGTACAATGATACTACATCCAAGGACGCCACAATACAATCCTGCGGAAGATTACTTGTGGCATTCAGTGCTGCAATACAGTCGATGGTACTGGACAAATGCGCTGGGACAAACTTAAGCAATTGATTGAGTATTCGCTCTAATAGTAACGAAATGTTACTTGTAGGACTACCACATGACGAGACAACAGGTCGCAGGGGAAGACCACTTTTATGGTCCTTCGGGAGACCATAGAACACCGGCATGCGCGAATTATGCGGTGGCAAGGCGCGAGCGAGTGACGGGGGGATTTTTCCTGTCGTGATATCTTTTGCTACACCTGCCGACTCCCTGTCCAGGTCACCCACTGCAACGCTGCACTCTTCGTAGCTGGCTTTACAATCAAGGATGCTGTTGACTTTTTCGATGTAGCGATCCGTGGCCATGACAACAAAACCCTTGCTCTTGTCCGAGGGCTTAATGGTGATACTGTTGTTGCGGCGAAGATCCTTGATAATACTGTGCTCTTGTCCAGTCAAATAACGTTGCGGACTCGCCTGAGGTGTGGCAAGCCTCATCTCCCTCCTGTATAGTGTGCCGAGGTTCTCTTTGAGTCGTCTCATCCTTGCCTCCTCTTCCGCTTCCATTAGTGGTGGCTGTTTGGTGGTCGTTGACATTTTCCTCAGCTTTTGATCTGTCTGGAGGGACATTTTCCTACTTTCCTCTTGCTCATCATCACCCTCCTTACAGTGCCTTCTGGCTACATCTCGCCAACGTCGACCAAACGCCATACGCTCAACCCCAACATCCACATCCATTAACACGCCTTCGTCTATCTTCCTCGCAGGGATGAACTTCGGTCCGAACGATAGCAATGCTCTTGCTTCCGGTGTCACCACTCCCTCCACCTCCCTTTCAACCACCACTCTTGCGGGTCCATCAAGTATGGGAGGTTCCTCTCTGGTCGTGTGTACTCGCCTCTCTGTGAGCACCTTCTCCTTCCTCATCAGCCGTACTCCGTCATCCCTCATCACGCAGTGATACATCTCATTGGCATGACCTAGCAGCCATCTGATGCGTGTTGCAGGCAGTTCTCGATACAGTTGCCCCAGGAGATGTTGACGCTGTCTCTTCAGGCTGTTAATGGTACGGTATTTCTCCTCAATGATCTTGTTTAATAGCATTCCATGAAAGGTTGACTCACACTTCTCTACACATGATCCGAACAACGTCGTAGCTTTAGAACAGTTTGCAATGAAGGACGGGACTAATCCACGACGACGACAAGATGTAAGAAATTTAACTGAACAGTGATGGCGAGCACTAGACAATTCCACCTTCATAAATCTCCAAGGAGTCTCACAGGACGGACCATCTGTAAACACCTTCCTAAGGGTGTGCAGACTCCACTGTAGCCACTTCAATTTGGATATTTATTATTTTTGGAAGAATTTGTAGCCGAGAGACCGTTTTCGAGTACTGGTGTATAACTGTGTGAAACATGAAGTGGCTACAGTGGAGTCTGCACACCCTTAGGAAGGTAACTCCCACCATACTGCCTTTAATCCAAGAAACACTCTTGGACAGGCACGTGAATGAGTAGCCTCAGTGTGCATATTGAATTTTGAATATTCTTCCAAAAGGTTCAATTTTTGGTCCGGTCAAAGAAGGAGGGGGGGGGGAGGGGGAGGGGTGCATATTTACTTTACCAAATACAGTATGTTCTAACAGCGGCACTGTCTCACGTGCCATTCAAATCCTGTGCTGTGCAAATCATGAGACACAGCAACGACCTAAAAAGCACCACACCTCCGTTTAGGTAATGGTAGGATAATTCGTACAGTGCGCAATACATCACAGGTCAATGATGTCCACAGCAACAACATTGCATGGTAGCCGACACCTACCCAGTAAACTTCTTCCGGAATGCACCCGTCCTCAATTTCCGTTCACTGGTGATGAGAAAATGGAAAAAAAGGAAGACAGGAGTCCCATAGCACTAACTTAAATTACAAGAGAACCATGAGCAATGTATACAGTCCACTTCGCTAGAAATACGAGCAGGGTTCAAGCCAAAGTAGGAAGAGGGTGGGGGTATGGGGCGCAGCCCCAGCCTCTACTTTGATTGTGCACCCCCGTTGGAAAAGTGGCGCCCCCTACCCAATTTTCCATTTCCGTGTTTTTCTGGCCATATCGGCTACGAAAATGAAGTCACCGATCAATCGTCCGGGTATGCTGGTGCGCACTGCGCTGCATGCAGGTCGTGTTCTGTACTCGTACCGGGTGCTACTTCAAGTAGTAGATGATGAACACGGACCGTTTGCACGGTAGAGGACAAAAGGTCACAAATCGCCTGTAGCAACGCAATCAATCGATAATTATAAATCGAGTGGATCCTATATGGATCTGGGTCTGGATCCGACCAAACGATTACAGCCTAGTTACCGAATTTTCCGGGTACAAGCCGCACTTTCAACACCAGTAATTCAACCAAAAAAAAGTCGATTCGGTTTATACTATGATGTGTGCCGGGTCAAATTAACACTGATAAATAGAGTAGATGTTTGTATTTCGTGACAAAAATATATCTAGGGTGTGGCTTAAACTCTAGTGCGGCTTATGCTCTGGAATGTCGGGTAGGTAAGTTGATGAGTTTCTCTTGGCCAAGAAATGAAGTATCCCATTTATCATAGCAAGAGTATTCCCAAAAGTGTGAAATTCTGCATACCGGGCCTCCAAAAGCGAAAATAATTAATTCACATGATGTGGTCCAAGAAGCTAGTATGCATTATCAAGATTCCGGATAACTGAAGTCCAGATAACAGGCTACAACAGTACATGTACACTAAGTGTGAAAATGAACACTGTGTATTTCTTTCCCTCAAACCAGATAATGCTGTGTATTTCACGTGGCTTTACGTACTAAACTGCATTGTTTGATGACCCGATGAAGACACTTTCAGAGCGGGGATCGATTCTTAGGCAACGGATGCGACCACCATTGCACCAAATTCGTTTCGAAACATTGTCGACTTTCTTCATACCCGTAACCTGTTGCTCCACGGCCAGGATCATGACACCATTGACCTCAATCTGCCCGGCTGACAGGTCATAGAAACGTATGTAGAGTCCGCTTTCGGTGAAGGCAAGGATGTCGCATCCGGAGATTCCCTGGGCCAGGTACGTACTCTCCGAGCTGGGACAAAGGAAACAAGAAAACAAAGAGATCTGCTTTACACACACACACATGCGCGCTTGCGCGCACACGCACACACATGCACACACACACCTTCCTTCTTCTCCACTGCCATGACTGGCTAAGTGGCCCCATACGGGGCAGCTCTTGGATTAGCGCTGTCTCCGGGAAGCGGCACCAGGACCCGACGACTGACGTGACGGCGCATTCCCACGGGTTATAATTGCTATTGAACGCCGCGATGTACAACGATGCCGTGCGATATCCTGACGGTGGCGGAAACTGCGGTTGCACACACCGCAAAGCAGAGGCTTGTCGACAGGCTCTTGACGGGCAAGTACAATACGATCCACCCCATCAAGGCACTGGGACTTCCACTCACGGCGATTACTTGCCACGTCGAGCCAGGAATTGGGCTCAATGCCAATTGCCGCCAGGTCGGTCCGCACCACGTCCTTCCATCGCTTCCTCGGACCATGGGGCGGGCGCTTCGATGGCAAGGAGCCAAACAACAGCTGACGAGGGATGCGGTCGCCCCTCGGCATACGTGCCATATGGCCCAGCCACTGCAGCCGCCGCCTGCGAATCTTGTCAGCCGGCTGCTCCAAGTCGCCCCACCATTTCCGCACCTGCAAATTGGAGATGTGCTCATCAATCTGGCGTGCACGACCGATGTGCAAGATCATCCTCAAGCACTGATGGTGAAACACGTCAAGCCGCTGCAGGTCCCTTTGCCGTGTTGTCCAAGTCTCAGAACCATACAGGAGGACAGCCAGAACAGTGACGCCATAGACTACACGCTTGATGCCGATGGTGAAGTCCGAGTTGTAGAACACTGCATCCTTCAAACTGTGGAAAGCGCCCGATGCAGCAGCAATCCTACGCGACACATCATAGGTACACCTGGCATCCGGTGTCACATGGCATCCAAGATAACGAAAGGAGTGCACGTGCTCCACCGTGCCGTTTAAAGGTGCCATGTCCTCGTTCACCACCCCAGTCCCAATAGCCATGAACTTTGTCTTGGCCATGTTAACCTTGAGCCCAAAGGCAGAAGCAGTAGTCTCAAACCCAGCGAGTGCTCTCTCTGCACCGGGGTGAGTCTTGGCAAGAAGTGCAGAGTCATCCG